AGTTTTACTTAAACGAGGAGAGAGAAAAAAATCTGTTTGGGGTCTAAAAACAGGCGCAGTGTGCGTCAAATAACGCAAATCCCGACCTGCGTTTCTTTCTTTCTTTCTTTCTTACTAAAAAGTCACATTTTTACACCACATTAACCTTCAGTATTTTCCTTTTCTGTTGTATATTTTTTCAGCTTGCTCGGCCCTGAAATGATCTTCTCAAGATGTTGACATCTTCCGGACGCAACGCCGAGTTTCTTGCTTTTTTTCTTTTTTCTTTTTTCTTTTTTCTTTTTTCTTTTTTCTTTTTTCTTTTTTCTTTTCTTTCTTTTTTCTTTTGTTTAATTGCTGAATCTAAGCTCAAATAATAATGGGCGACTTCAAAAATTCTACTTTCGTTCACAAATATAAATGGCCCTCATGGTTACCAAATCATCGTGAAATAACGGATTATACTTTAAACTGTCAAGTGGATTTAAATTCTTTTTTTTTCTTTACGTGGATTCACAAACAAATGTGAAACTCCCACAATTTGCTTCACTTATTATAAATGAATCTTCTAAATCAGGTAAGATGATTCAGTGAATTTGCTATTTATATAAGAGAAGGACAGCAGGTTCTAAAAAACAACAACAGATGTATTTCTTTCGTTTCCGTGGAGTCTTTTCGACTTGCCCACATAATAAGAATTCAAGTTATCACAGATCAACTGATCACACAATTGATTCGACATATTATGTATAATGATCTTTGTTATTGTTGACCACCATTTAAAATGAACAATTTTGTGCTGGGGGTGTTCGCAAAACTACAAACGAGTGGCTAGCTTTGACTGCGATCCATGACGCATCCTTGCCGGTACATCCTTCTTAAATCTAGTCTGTATACCCTTCGTGAATGGAGACAGTACATTTTGGGGCATTTATACATGAAACCAAATGAGATGATCTGATATCCGGACAGGAAACCCGCTCTGTCTATAAAGACTGAGGCGCCTACTGGGGCATGGAGGAGGCTTTCATATAATCTCGGTCAAGTGCTTCTATTTGCCCGCTGTCACGGTCTTGGGTAAGCTTATGTCCGCTTGGGGTCTTTGTGCTGTATTACAAGATTATCTTCCAAAATCACGCTATCAAGCTTGAAAGCTGCACTGCAGGCTAAGTGAAGGTTGCAGGCCTGTCCTCCATTATGCTCAGAGACAGCGAAGGTCAATGTAAAGACCAACGCAAAGAGCCGGCCCTGAATGCAGAGCTCATTCACGGCTGACAGCGCGTGGAGTGATGTTGTGCATCGTGTACAACACAGTTTCTACAATCTAAGTATGTCAAATTGTCCAGTGTTATTTCATAGGACGCATTTTTTATTTAAAGAAAACACTAACAGTGACTTTTGTCCATTGCTTGTTTTGTTTTTGTTTTATCATTACCTCCCACTGTGTAAATTAAAAGCTGATAGTAAAATAGAAACGCGTTGAAATTTCTGCGCTTTCAAAACTCATTCTCTAGCTTATTTGACATTCTACAACATGCTAATTGAAACCTTTTTTATTCTCTAAAACAAGCTGTAATACACTCTTTATCCTTAGTGTGGCAGCAGAATTCAATTTTTGAACACAGTGCGGTCCAGCCTCCAGAGTTTTCTAGCCACGGTCCAATCAAAGATGGCTCTCGCGAGGAGAGAGGGGTAGGCGGAGCATTGCGCTTTGAGCTTTGGACTCTCACGTTGTTTCTCAGGCTGCAGGCGGGACTTTCGTGTTTGTTTTGGTTTTCACTAAGCCAATAGCAACACGCTCTACTTCCTCGTAGCCAATAAACTTACACTTAGGTAATGCCACAAGTAACTTCCGCTCCGCAGCTTCCGCCTCTTCAACGCTTTCCTGTGCGTGTTTTTCGGGAGCAGAGGTGCGTTCTGGAGTCAGACATCAAACTTTTCTCCACATCTATGTGCTTGTTTAACACGTGCGCGCCCCGCCGCGCCGACGTCAGAAAACGTGGCAGAGACGTAACATCACATTTCCTGCTCTCTGACTGCTGTCTCACATGGCTCTGGTGTTTGTCCTGATCAGCCAGCTGGGCATGTGCGTGACAGGAGCACAAGATATGGCACTACAGAGCATTTAAAAACGGTTCATAGTCCGGCCCACTGTTGACTTACTTTATGCAACCCATAGCAAATGTTTGTTTTCATC